ATATTTATATATATATATATACTGTTGTTTTTTTTTTTTATTAAAGATGAGCAGTTAACTAACAATGAAAAAAAATTATCAAAATTTGAACTATTAAAAAAAGATTTCGAAGAAATTTTACCATGTTTTGAAGATAATTCAAGAAAAAGAAATTCTATGTGCGTACTTAAAATTAAGATTAAACTATATTAAATATTTAAAAAAATCTATATATATATTTTATAGAATTGATGTCAATGTAAAGACTATTTATTTTAATAAAATGAATATGGCACATTCATCAACAGTCGACTGGAATCGAGAACCAAGTAATACTATGAGTGGTATTATGAGTACACTTGCTGAAGATTTGCAATGGTATGATAAATCTATCGAAACTTTTTCTCTAAGCATAGATCATAATGTTTAACTTAGAAAATGAAATATAAATTATTTAATAGTCTTAAGAATTTTATTATGTTATATAAAAATACCAAATCTCTGTTAGTTTTATTTTTTCTTATATCAAAATTATTAAAAAAAATCTTGAAATCCGAATTAAATTTTAAACTTCAATATTTTAAGGTTTCATCCATCTGGTGAAATAATGGTTAAACGTGAAAATGATCCATGGATAATTGCGAAACGATCCGATATGCGTGAATTATTAGTAATTATAAATCAGAAAAATGCAAATTTAAAAGAAATCAGTGGTAAAATATTTTGTTTTATTTCTTGTTTTATTTTACATTAACAAAAAATACTAACTTTTCATTTAGATAAAATCAAACAAATATTTTCTACACAATTTAATAATGTTTTACTATTAGAATGATTTTTTTAATAATCTATATGTTTAGTTTTTTTTTCTTTCATAATAAATTTAAGCATTTAATTTTCTCAATTTATTTTTCTTGAATTAGATTTTTTATTTTTGTAGAGAAAAAAAAAAACAGCGAACACTTCGGTATGATACTATTATCACTAAATCTAATCATCATCACTTATTAATCAGAGTGAAGAGAACACAAAAAAGAAAAGAAAAATAAGAAGTATGAATGGTCCATCAACAGTAAATCATTCGACACAAAATAATGAACAATTAATTGGAAAGTTTCATGTTGTCAATGTTGATAAATTAGCAACGAATCCAATTAATAACCATGATGAAACAACTACTATTGTTGGTCAAACACCAATACCCCCACCAGCAGCATCATCATCATCTACAACAACGACAACTACCGATGAATCCGTATGTCCATCACGTTTTCAAATGATTCGTGTTGATAGAAATTTTGTACGTGGTCGTTGGAAAGTAAATGATTATGAACCACCTGAAAATATTGCAACTATAAATAATCCACCGGTGATGAATTCTATTGAAAATGAACCTGTAAACAATTCCAATACATCAACTATACCAACATCAGCACCAATAACAACTATACAATCTAATATACCACAAAATATACCTGCTGATTCAAATGCTACTTCATCAGCAACACTTGCTGCAACAGCTGCTGTAAGAATTTTGTTTTGTTTTTTTATTTTAATAAATAAAAATTTCGTTGTATTTTTAGGGAGCTGCTGCTGCAGCTGCAACTGCTTTTCAACATCAGCAACAACGATTAGCAATGAATAATGCAGCAACAGTTGTACCAACAGCAAATGTTCCTCCACCAGCTGGTCTTCTTTCTGCTTATCCACCGACAGCATTATCTAATATGGGAGCACCAAATCAAGCTTATATCTTACCAAGTCATCCACAGTTTGGTTATTATCAAATTTTGCTACCACCTTATTCACCATATGCTGCTCAATGGGCTGCTTTAGCTGCTACAAATTCTTTTCTACCTCCAACAATGCCGCCACCACAACAACAAACATCTCAATTACCAACTGGAAATCTCGGTGAACCTATACGACTTACAGATGCAGGTATATTGGCATGTTTTATAAGAAGAAAAGGAAAAGAATTGTTTCAGATGACTTTTTTTTTCTTCTACTTCCTTATTGTAAAGTAAATAATTGTCTACTAAAAATAAGACGTCTGCAAGTTCTCTGCAACGCTTGATAACTGAGATACTGCAATCTTACTGAAACTTCTCAAGTTGTTGTTTAAATAAGTTGTGTTTTGTCGATGAAAGATGGACGACTGTTTTATTGTCATATTGTGATCTTCTGCTATTTTTTGCGGACATCTAACGACATATATAAGGGTGTGGTGATCAAACTCTATGCTCAATATAAAGTATTTAGCTTTAATAAATAGAAAATTTTAGACTGTTTATCCTTCTAATAATGTCGTTCAGGTGCAAGAGGTTTCAAACTATACGAATGGTTCATCAGATAGAGAATTTAATTCGGAACAAAATAATGTAACATCTAAACTGTGAAGAACGAAAATATTTAGATTGAGCTGCCGAAAAGGATCTTGTGCGGCGTTTTGTAAATGTCTTTTTTTTCTGAAATTGTGAAAAGTCGAGAGATATAGCATTTCACGACATGTCTTGTAGTATATTTGAAATTTCGGTCGAATTATTATTTAATTTTTAAAAATCGTTTTGTCAATCTTTTCGATTTTTCTACAACAGAAGAAACTTATCTGAAGAACAAAATCGCCAATTTTATAGATCGAAAAATTCTTTATCGAATAAGATTAGAACGATGCCTTTGAGCTGTATTTTCTATCTTCAAATGACAGAAAAATCAATATGCTCCATTCTTTATAGATTACCCGTTATTTCTTATAGAAAAAGTCATTTCTTTTCACCTTCAATCAAATTGCTGTATCTCAGTTAGAAAACATTACAGAGGACTTGAAGATATTTCATTTTTGTAGAGAATAGTTTAATCTATAGGCTTACGACAATAGAAAAAAAAACGCGTAAATTAACCTGGTTTTAATACTTACTACATATCAGTTCTTTAAAATCTAAATTATAAAACTGTTTGATCTTTGTTATTTTCTTTAGTTACAGATGGAACTAGTGAAAATCCCGTGATCTCTTCTAATCTATTTCCAAATCCGACTACTGATCACCTACAAAATGCTCAAATGGCTGCAGCATCTACTCCACAATTTATATATGCTGCTCAGCTTCCTCATTCAACATATGTTTCACAAGCACCACCGAATGCTGCTTCGCCTTATGCAACTATACCAGCTTATCATTCTGCTGCACAACCATCAACAATTATTCCATCAACAGTACGACCAACATCACTCGCTCAACTTATTCCAAATAATATTACTGATATACAACAACAACAACAGCAACAACAACAACAACATCAACAACCACAAATATATTTTCATCAAGTACTACCTATACAACATCATCAACATCAACAACAACAACAACAAGCACCAACTCTTACTTCACCCAAACATGATACAGCATCAACAAAAACTTCTATTCAACCGCCAAATATACCGAAAGCAACGACTACAGCAACAACAACATTACCAGCCAAACTTTTAACAACAAATGCAAATGGTACTAATACTGATATATTAAAAACAACGATAGCACAAATAAATCAAACAAAACCTGTAACAATAATAAGCAATAATGCTAATACTGATACATTAAAAACAATAACAGCAACAAATCCGACATATATAACTGATTTATTATCAACATCACCATCATTACCAAATGTTCAACAACAATCACGAGCATTTATGTCTCCTATAACAATTCAAACAAATAATCCAAGTAATATGAATAGTCCAAATAAAGCACCAACAGCTTCATTAAACGATATATGGTCATATACAACATCTGGTCCACCATTAAATCTAACTCAAACAGCTGCACAAACTGCTGCTGTTACAGCTGTTGCTGCAATGGGCTTATTAAATAGTGAGAATAGTCAAAATACTGAAATAGCTAATGAGATTCTCAAAGAATTAACAACACCAACAAAACAAAACAAGTAAGTTAAAAACTCATTATTTGTTTCTCGTCTTTATTATTATTTTTACTGCTCTCACCAAATTTCAAGCTTCAGTTTATCAGAGAGACGAGTGCGTTTAAGAACTAGGCGACAGCGCAGGTATTCAAAAAAAGCAACAAGCATATTTATACTATTTTGCATACGCATTAATATACTTGAATAAAAAAAAAACACACACACACATACATCAGATAGAAAAAAAATTATTGCAATGATCTCGTATTAATCGATAGAATGATACTCACGCTTATATCTTTTTCTTATCATGGCTAAATGCTATGCTCAAGAAAAGAAAAACAAATAAATGATTAAAAAAAAAAAGCCATTTTCAATTATTATTCACGCTCAAAAATCTTTATTTTTGGCTTTTCTTCTCTTGCTCATTTTAATCTATATTGGCATGATAAATGCTTTCTAGTTAGATGTATTTATTGATTTTGTTTTGTTCTATCTATTTTAGTACAACGGATATTGACATTAAAATTTCAGCAGCCATGGTAAGTAAAATTTGATAGAACAGATTTTAATTTATAAAATAAATGAAATATTGGTTGTATATACTCGAAATTGAGAGAAGTCATCGAACTGATTAATGGTTTTTGACTCAGGACTATGTGCATAATCTAAACACTAATGAGCTATGCATACCCTAAAAAGAGTTCGAATCCTTAACTTTTTCCTATGGAGAAAGTGCATTTTTAAGGTATTTTTTAAGTGAATGCTTCAGTTCTCTCGCTCAAGAACACCACAAAATTTGATTTTCGAATTTTGACTTTAGATTTCGTTCAAAGACAGGTTACAATGAGAATAGTTTATTGTAAAAGATTCAGATACTTGATTTGCTTCTCGGTGTATATATGAATGATGTAAAAGAAACACTTTTACCATAGAAGTCTCTTAAGATAGAAGCAATGAAAAGATCTAAAAGTTTCGCAATAGACTATTCCTATTAAGGTCTGCTTCTAAGCGAAGTTTCAAAACTCGAAAATCTGTTTTTCGTGGTGTTCTTGAGGAAGACTACAGCATTGACTTGAAAAATGCAGTATATCTATAGTAATAAGCGAACAAGGAAACTACATGAACTGATAATTCCCGTTTGAGCTCATGTTAGGTTAAGCAAAAAGTCCTAGAAGGGTTTATACCAATGGGCCTCTGGAGCCGATTTAGGACTGTTTTACTAAATTTTTGATTCAGCTTTAAATATTTACTGAAAAATCAAATAACAAAATTTCTATTTGAAATTTTACTCATTGATAGGTCTGATGGCTCTGGGAACATCACAAAAGTTGTAGTCGAAAAGAATATACCTTTATCGAGATATTAAGTTTTCGACTGAAACTTTCAGAATATTCTCAGGATCATCAGACTTATCTATGAGCAAGATTTCAGAACGAAATCAGGTATCAGTTCGAGTAGTTCCCTCGTAAAAGCCTGAATTCTCTTAGTATTCATAGCTCATGAGAGTTCACATGACAGAAATAATCTCGGCTCAAAACTAATTAATAATTTGTAGGAACTTCTCTCGTGAGACATAACTTCTATAATTTATTATCGACTATCCATGAAAAAAAAGGTGGAACAAAAAACCAAAGGAACATTTGACGAAAACATCATAATAAAAAGTTAATCGTGATCAAAATGAAAAATACGAATAATCGTATTCGGAAGAATTCAATTAATTCAAATCCTATTGAATCAAAAATGATTATACGTATAAGACTAGAAAATTATGAATTCATATCACAGTTATTTCATATCATACTGTGTTATGTTAAAAAAGAAAACTATTTCAAGGCGAGACATTGAAAATGAATATTCAATTTGGGTTTTTTTCTTCTTAGGATCTTGTTAAAATGCATTTGTTATCTGCTGTTCGTGACGAAGTAACCGAACTACGTCAACAAATTCGAACACTTAATGACAAAGTGAATAGTGTTGAACATGAAAATGCATTTCTTCGTCAGCATGTATCTAGTGAAATCTATGCTCAATTTATACCATTATTTGTTGGTGTATCATCTGCAAATGATTTATCAAATCCTACGACAACTGTAACGACTACGGCTTCCTCTATGCCTTCATCGTCTATAATGTCTAGTCAATCGATGCCAATGGCTTTTGTGTCATCTTTTCCTCCATCGTTTGCACAACAACCGCCTTTATCGACTACCTTACAGCCACTACCACCACTACAACAACCACCTTCATCAACAAATCTTCCTTCAACTTGATTTTCTTGTTATTTAAAACACGGGTTTTTTTCTTGTTTTACTCTTTCTTTCCTCTTCTTCTTTTTTTCGAATATGTATTCGTTCTCACTTTCTTTGATGTGTGCGTGTGTGTGTGTGTGCGTGGGTGTATGTCTTCGTCAGTATACTATTTGAAACGTAAACCTTTGATCAATGGGTGATTCCTTAGGAAATCATCTATCACAAATCACTTCTAGTTTTTAGTGTATGAAACGAACAAAAGTGGCTTTTTTCTTAAATTGCAATTTTATGAATATTGAGCAGAGATTACTGATAATTATAATGGAGTTATAGCAGAAAGATTGAGATCGATTAAATGAATTTATTTATTTCGAAGCTTTTATTAAGTTAGTTTTCTGAAAATGAAAAATCAGTTTAAGAAAGAGAAAAAAAAGAGAGAGAGAGAGAGAGAGAGAGCGATCTATATATATATATAAAACAAATTTAACTATATTTTAAACTGAAGTTCAGTTTAATGTATCAATATAATAATTCAAATGAAACATAATTTCACTTTGGTAATAGAATGATTTATAATTTTCTCATGGAACAAATACGACTGTAATTACTTTATCTTATACAAGATTATATTTATATTTATGACAAAAAAAAAAAAGAAGTATCACTTGATGATATACGCTTCGTAAAATATAATAAACATTTTTTAAAATACTTTCTTTATATTTAAGGATTTAATAGAAAGATTACGTTTAGTTATTCTCAATGTAAATGTTACACAAAAGTTCTTTTTCAAAATCGAAATATGGTTTATTAACCGTTGAACTTCGGTGGAGCCATTTTGTAACAAATTCATACAAATTATCTATTTGAAGTAATGAGCCACCGATTTCGTGGCGATTCTAGAACATTGTGTAGAGTCATCAATAAGTTTAAAGTTAGAAAAAAATTTAAGTTCGTGTCATCCTTCCTTGATTAAGATATATGAGTTAGAAAAAACTGTTCGTTCAAAAAAGTAAAAGAATCTGTTTTTTTTTATTTACTTAAAAAGGCTGATTATTTTGATGTTGATGAAGTTAATATATACAGTAGTAGACGAAAGTCTTCGTTCTAGAAGAATTTTCCATAAGATTAGGTGTGAATAAGCAACATTAGGCCTTACCATCGGCACGAATTTTTTTTTAAATTTAACATTCGTTAGATTCAAAACTTATCAATGCAGCTGTAACAAAAGAAGTGAATTGTGGAATGAAGACGATGAACTTAGTCAAACGACTTCACAGATTTAACTCGATATGGTCGAGCTCGTTTAATAAATTGTTTCGCCCATCGAATATGAACGGTGCTTGAACGATGTAGGAATGAAATACAATCGACTTCTTTGGAAGCCATTGCTTATTGACCACTATCGAGAGAATCATTTAAAATAATAAGCTCAAGATCACAAATTGACGAAATAAACCAAGTGATCTTTTCTAGCAAGACCATCTTTCGGCTGAAGTCTGTCAATAGCTTGATTTGAAATTTGGCTGAGAAAGAAGAAGATCGTGCGAATGGTCAAACATTCTATCAAAGTCATGGTTTTAGTCGCATCGTCTCTTTTAAGCAAAATCTATATACGAAATCACTGTGTAATATTTACAAGTTTAGTCTTTTGCTAACAGTTTGAAAAGAATTTATTTACGATTCAATATTGTGAAAACTACAAGAAGAGAACGGTTCCAAACAAAGGTCAAAACTTGTAGTGAATTACAAAACGAATAATGAAATTCATAAAAACGATTGATCATCGATGCCATTCATTCTTGTACCCGTTAAAAATGTTTTAGAACTCATCAAGATAATGTTAAGAATACAAAATCTTACAACGTAACAATTTTTGATTTCGGTAATAAAGTCCGAATGGAAAGTCTTTACCATTAAACTTAGTCAACAAACTTATACATAGTATGAACAATTGAATTTCTACAGTTGTTGAAAGTCATGATGTCTTTATATTACATTAATGATTAGAATGTACTATTAAGTTTTTACATCGTAAAAAATTTTCATCTTATCACTTTATTTGATAAAGTTCAACTTCGATGGCGACTTTTCTCCACCACTGTATTACTACGAGTGTAATCTATTTGCTGAGTAGCTTCTAAAAAAAGAAACATTTAATTAAAAATGTGAAAACAGTATTGTTTATGACGATTCGGATCATTTTTGCCACACTTGTAGTGAATGACATGAAAAATGATTTTTCTAGAATTAGTTTGTTTTCGATATTAACTCATAGAATAACACGATCTTCATTTTTAAAATGTTATTAGCACTCACAGCTAGTCAAAAAAAAGCATTCTACGACTGTTTTTAAATAACTACTAATTTCGAATCAGAATCAGAATCAATGGATTCTATATTATAAAAGAGAAAATGAAGATACGATCCTGGAAATGAATAACCTACTTTCAATTCGAAAATAATCTTCTTTGCAAATTTCTAATCATATAGAATTATTTTTCCAAAAATAATCTACTGTATAGTCGTTTCGAGCTTTATACAGATAAAATAGCAACATATGTGGAAAAGCCATAAAAGAATCAATCAACAATAGATTCAACTTTTATGTCATTCAACACAAAAATGTGTCATCTTTGACCCATTCTGTATCTCCATAATGAAATAACGTTACCAATAAATTTAATTATACTGCTGTCATAATTAGCACGTGCATGAGCTAATGCTGAGGTTGACTAAACATCAACTCTATTGGATAAGTGCCAAAGGACAAAGAGTTTAACGTAATGAATTTTATTAGAAAGTCAATAGGGAATATTTTTTTACTAAGACAATAGATAAGCAATTTACTGGCCTGGAAAAATATATCATTAATATTTCAGAGTGAATCATATAAATTATTGATATACGTAAATTTTCGAAGCGTCTTTTATTGCCCTACGTATTGAATTATATGAATAAAGAAAACATAGTTTTACTTATAGATACTTAAGAATAAGTCTTTGCTAAGAAATTAGAAAAAAATAGATTTATCAAAATCGTAACAAATACTATTTATGAATGAAAATTTGCCTTCTCTGTTCTTATTTTCAAATACTTTTATTATCTAAATCAAATCTCGCGTTAAGATTTTTGTTTTTATTATTATCAACCATTAATAATTAATTCATTCTTTAGGAAAACAAAAGAGAAATAGAATATTCTGTTACTTAGAATAAATAATTATTATCTGATTCATCAATAGAAAATACAGGGTGGCCAAAAATTCACGATACCGAAAGAAAATGAATATTTTCATTACGGCTCGAGCAAACAAGCTGATTTTTTTTTCTCAATGATAGAGGCATGTTCAAGCTTTATATACACAAAAACATGCCTAGACAGATGCTTTGTTAAGTATTACTATTAAACTCAACAAAAAATATTTACTTTTTCACAGATAGGAAAACAAAATAATATACCTAACAAAGGATCTCTCTAGATATGTCTTTATGGTAATAAAGCTTGAACACGCCTCTATCATTGTTAAAAATAGCAGATCGTTTGCTCCAGTCATAACAGAGATATTTGATTGTTTCTCGGTATCTTAACTTTTGGGTCACCCTGTATTCGTGATAAAAACAAAACATAAGATGTTCACTTGATGCTAAAAAGTTTTTCTTGAATTTCAATATTTTAGAAAGTATTATATTTATTCAATGTTTTTCTTATTCGTCAATGACATACTGGAAAATAGGATCTGTTAAGTCTGCCCTGAAGCAAACTTAAAAGTATGGCAAATTTTTCTTGCTGATATAAGCGTTAGATAAATCATTGGTTATTTATTGATGCTTTACCAAGGCCCAGAGGCAAACAAACATTCTTGTTGAATGATTCATTGATATTTTTCGATATTTTTCCTTAGTTTTTAAGATTTTCATGACAAACTGTTGTTTTGTAGGAACGCCGTTCGAACCAGTGAGCAAATTTTCTATTTTTGATGACATACGTTAATTTTTATGGTTTTATTGTTCTTCTTTTCAGTCCCATGCCAATGTTTTCATATTGTAATGAATGCAATTTTCTCGTTTTTTTCTTAATCACTGATTTCATCAATGAGATAAATTTCTTTTCTTTTGGCACTGATAAATAATAATAAATCTTTTCAAAATGATGATAAAGAAAATCGTAAAATGTCATGACATTCAAATTTATGTCATTGTACTTTTCATTAAGTCTGTTAGCGAATATATTAAATTAATAATATCACTTATATTGCTATCAATCTAATGATAAAAGAATTATTGTTATTATAAGACTTATGCATTAAAGAGTTGAAAACTCATTTTATAATTATTATCAATAGTTTTAACATAGTCGTGATAAATGCTGTGCTTCATATCGTATTTTATGAAGCCCTTCAAGAGTTATTCTTCTTTCTTTCTCGAAGTAAGCAATGAATGTTCGTATTTTTAAATCGAGAATAGAAAGCCAAAAAAAATTTGTGGACTAAAAGCTTCAAAATAACTAAAGCGCAGACAACAACAAAATTTCGTTGCAACGTCAGCTGATGATAGATCATGAATCAGATAAAATTATTTGATCAATTGAAAGAATTTATTAAAACAAATGTTGATATTTGTTATTAGTTTTTTCTTACACGGAAACTACCGGTAGTGATACCTCGCGTTTGTGATGAGACTCTAGTCATTGCGTAGGATCTGATGAGAATAGAAGAAACTTAAAAGGATTCTTCATTATGTGCTGCTGTTCTGCAGTTATGGCTGTCACACTGGAGCTTTTACCTTTTATACGCTATTTCTAAAAAAAGAACAAACGGCTTTGTTCATAGACAAAGTTTTCGGTCAAAATTCGTTTGTCCGAACTTTTTTTTATAAATATTGTATCTACGGTCAAAAATCCTACATAATGGTTACTTTCTTTCAGACCTTCATCAGTTGATTAATCGAAATTTAAATTTTTCGGTTAAAAAAAAACCTAAATATCTGTTAATGAAAAATATTTCGTAATCTCTCATGAAAGTCATGACTCATTTTTTATGCAATATTGAATTTTCTCCAACAATAGGCTTTCATAATTTTGCATTGCATTTCGCAATTAAATGAAATATCAAATACTGTTTAATTTGTTGTGTGTTTGTTTTTTGATGAATGTCAAATTTGATTTGCAGTATTTAATACTCAATGACGTATATAACTAAACTCTCAAAGATATCCAGGTGTTTTCTTTGTATATAGACTAATTATATAGACTTATTCACTGAGATATAAAATTGATGATTATAAGTCTTTAATTTTCTTTGATGATATTTTCGGTAGAATTGCTGTATTATGACCTAAAAAAGTACTAAAAAGTATAATTGATACTTTGCGCAGTCACATCATAAATCTCGAATGACTAACGACTACAAATTTGTTTTTCATTGCATTTTTTATGTATATGAATATATTAATAGTACATATCAAGTAAATACTTATTGTACATGCATAATGAAGTTAAGCTCTTTAAACTCAGGAAGAAGAGAATATCGATCGAGTTTTTTTCCGCGAAAAAAGTCTTCCTTTTTTTTTCTTCCTTTCTTCTTTACTTCCCAGCGATTACTAATTTTTATTGTATGAATGCTCTCACTTTTTTTTTTTTGCCTTATCATTGAGCATATATGTACGTAAGATGACTAATATAATATTATATTCAATAAAATGCAAATTTGCATTAGATCAATATTAAAAGACACTCCAGACTCTTGTTTTTATCATGAGTAATCATCATGATTCTCACATATGTAAAAGTGCATATTTTCTTTTGTAGAATACTAACGACATAGAGGCATCTGTCAAAAGATGATTATGCCTGCATGTGTTGATGACTAATGAATGGCATTAATTTTATATTTAGAAATTTCAGCAGAGAAATTGGAATAAAAAAAACAAACATTCTCATTATTAATGCAAATATGTTTCAAGTACCAAATAATAATTAAAATATATATACATAAATAAATTGAATGTCTAATATATTCTCAGTGTTATTTTTATGTTTGTTTTTATTCTAAATGATTACTGAAGGAATTAATTCTTTTTCTAATGACGTGATTTATCATTGGCACCTTTACCGTTTTTTCTTTTTCTAATGTTGATCAAGTCTACGATTGATTTGGCGTAGTCTTTTTATGTCTATACGTAGGTGTCAGACCACGTTCGATAAAAGAAGAAAAAAAAAGGCAAATGAAAAGGAAAATGTATATGCAATATCGTTCTATCAAATCTAGTCTGTTGTTTTTTCTCATATCCGAGCATTAATGAAACAAAAAAAGAAAGATAAAGCAAAATTCAAAATAGAATAATATAGACATATTGTGATTTGTTATCAATGAATTCTTTTTTTTTTTAAATGCATGTCTAGTTTTGATAAAACAAATATATATATATATATATAATATGAATGAAATAAATATTAGAAAAAAAAAAATGAGTAATATATGTCAAAAGGGATTTGCATGACTTTGTGCTAAATAAATGAAAAAAAAAAAAAAAAGTAAAATAGTGATTAAAATAATATCTCATGAGAATTATTTTGTTTTCTTTTTCTATTTATTAAATGTTACATCAGTAGATTTTAGGATTACGTAATTCATTAGTTCCTATTTATTCATACTTTAAGGTCATTTTGTATGGATTACGATCAAGGATGTTTTTTATTTCTTTATTGTCGACTACAAATAGAAAAATATCATGTCAACATAATCATATGTATCTTTTAGTAACCCTTCATAATAGCTTCTTTCGTTTTTCTAATAGTTTTCTTTGTTAATATAAATTGTTTTCTATCTAAAAAACAAAAAAAAATTAGACTAGACAAAAACAAAAATTATGTCATATTTATTTTACAGTTCTGTTGGAAATATTTCATTTTTTCTTGTTGTTTTTTTTTAGAGAAAAGAAAATATGTTCTACTATTTGTCTGATGGTTCTTTTTTTGATTTCTGTCTTTTTTGACCGATAAACAAAAATAAACTACTTCTTATGTAATAGTACAAGTATAGACATGTCCTTAGTGTTGTCGAGTAATGATGTAAGTTTTTTTTTTTTTCTTCTTCTTTTTGTTTCTCTATGTTTGTATTTGTTTTTGAATGAATCAACAGTTGTCATCGTGACACGTCATCAATGTTACCCAATCCAAACAGAATACGAGCATAAACAAAAATTTCTATGGTCGACTGATGTGGGGTCATGGAGATCATGTTTTCCCCTCACTAAACTACCTCTCGTTCTTTCTATCTTTTTTTCTTTTCTTTTTTTTCGTTGATAGAAAAAAAGGCAAACAATATTCTAGAATCTTTCATTTCATTACTGAACTGATTATTACGTAGTATATTCTATTCGCATTCTTTTTTTTTCTCTTTTTTTTTTCTTCTTTATTTTTTTTTTGTTCTTGGCTCGTCTTGCATAGAAGAAAAAGAAAAGAGAAGAAAAAAACTAAAGTGCAGTACACATCATTACCCTATAGTATAAAAGCTCGACATATATTACTTCCACACACATATTCATTCATTTTTATTTTGGTAACAACATATTTTCATTTTGTCATTGACACATATCTATATCAAAAACATAAATAGAAAAAAAAACGATGAAAAAAGAAATCGACATTGCACTTGATTTACTTGCAACATATGTTCAACGTTTTGGTTCAATAAAAGAAGAAAGCATTGAAGAATTTCGTCAAAACCTTCAACAAAATTTACTTCAACGTTATCAAGGACATTGGTATCCTGGTAAGATAAACTTTTTTTTTTATCTTCTATATTTGTACTTATTATTATTATTATGTTTTTTTAGATAAACCTATCAAAGGACAAGCCTATCGTTCATTAGAGTTTAATAAAGAAAATGATCATTGTGATGTCATTGTTTCTCAAATATGCCAGAATTTAGGCTTTGCACCTAATCTACTCGGTATACGACATGATTTAACATTATGGATCGATCCATATGAAGTAACTATAAGGTATGCTATGTACCGATAAATAGTCTAATTGCGATGTTGGCACAGTTTACACTTAGTCATACTAATACGAAAGAGTTCTTCCTCTCTCTTTCTCTTTATTCGACAAAATGCGTAGGTTGATTGCGCGCAAACTACATCACAAGACATGATGTCATCACATGCAATAACGAAGGAAGAAAGAGGACGAGTCAGTTTTTCTTTCGTGTATTGTGTATGCTTTCTATTCTTTTTCCCTGCGAAGAAGTTGTTTCCTTCTTTTTCTTTTCTTCTGTCTTTCTCTTGTCACTTTAACTGTTTCCATGTCGCCCTTTTATCGTCTTTTTCTTTTTACATCACACTTTGACAATAACAAAACAAAAACAAAAAAACACCTAAACATTATAAATCTTAGATACAATGTACTTACTTGCGCATGCAATACCTTTTTCAAAGAAACAAAAAAATATTTATCTAAAAAAGAAAAGAATTTTATAATCTTATTTCCATATTTTTTTATTAGATTTGGAAATCATGCATCACCAAAAGAAAATCAACAATTAGTAGTTGTTCGATTTGATAAAGAAGGAAATGAAATTGTACGAAATGACCTTGATTCATTATTTTATCAAAGTCATATACCTATGGTTACAACAAATACATTACGATCATCACCAACAAATAGTTCATCATGCGATTCAGCTAGTTGCTCTGGTTCATCAACACCACAACGTACATCATCACCATATCCCGGTACACAACAATCATCAGTAACATCAACATCAACACCACCGCCACCATCAACAACAATGTATCATAATGGTCCATTATTTACTCCACCACGAGCATTATCGCCACAAGCACCTGCATTTCAAATGTCACCATCAGCACCAATTAAAGTTCCAGTCAAACATGAACAATATCATCCATTACAAAATTATTCCGAATCAGTATCATCTGAAGGTTCACCTATTGATGGAAATAATATGCAACCAGATCGTTCGGATACTCCATATTCAATGCATAGTACAACATCAAATGAATCCTCTGATAGTGGTTATTGTGGATATGTTGAAAGTTTTCCTTGTAAGAATTTTTTATTGATTTAATTAGTTACATTTATTGTATAATGTTTTTTTTTTCATTTATAGATTACTATAAACTCAATCGTTTATATAAAGCATTGGCTATACAAAAACTTTCAACGAATACAAATCCAATGGGTAAAACGACATATAATCCATCAATATCTCATCATCATCGACGTGTACCACATAATTATCATAATCAACAACAACAAAAAACAAATAATATCATTCCAACATCATTATCTACTTCTCCTCCAACACCAACTCCAATGAACATTAATCAATTCTCACCTTATTATGTTCAACAATCATCATACTTTCCAATATCAACGACAGTCACTGACAATCGAAAATCTAAGTATTAAAATATATTTGTACACTTATTTGTAGGCTAGCTTCATTTTTTTCTCTCATTCTAATCACACGATCAGTAATTAAAAAAAAAAAAGGTGAACACTTATTTACGGTGAAAGATGAAGATGAGATATCGATAATTTTTATTTTTGTTTTCGAATGATCGTGTAGTGCAATGTATTTGTTTTTAATATGAAGAGAAAAAAATAGCAAACACCCATCCATTTTGAAATGTATATAAATTTTTGTTGTTTTTATTGTTGTTTTTGTTGTTGTTATGTAGTAGTTGTTTTTTTTTTGGAAACATTTTCCATAAAATTCTTTAGTTTGTCGTTATTTTTAAATCTAGAATTGTCTGTTTATCAGTTCTAATCCGGAAAACATTCTTTATTATTTATATATATATATATATATACATATTTCTTTAACTTTACTGTTGTTGTTGATGTTGTGTGTTGTTGAAGCCTCTCAACTTCAGATAAGCTATGTGAGTTTGTATATTTGCATTCATTTCTCTTCTTTCTCTCATTCTGTTTTGCTTGAAAGACGGTGATGTATCTACTTCTCTGCTGGTCAGAATGACACTATTTTAAAAAAAAAGAAGTCACGGAAAACAGCATGTTTGGGTTTTTAGTTTAGTTATATATACATGCGCGTACGTTTATTTATTTAGTTATTATTTTTTTCTTTGTTCTCTTTATCTATAAATGCAACAATCAATTGTTTTTGCTCTCCGTTTTGTTTTAATTTTGTTTTTTTTTGTGATGCAAAGTATTGCTGGAAAAAAAACATGTTGGACATATTTAAGTAACTTTATAATAAGTTTTTATGACCGGTGAGACCATCTTGATTTTGATTTCAAAATTTACTATTGTTGTTCTCTGTTTTATTTATTATGTTTTTTGTTTTTTTTTGTTATGCGCTTGTATATTTCTGGCAAAAAAAAATATAAGAAGAACAGTACTTAATTTATTTCATATGAAGTTATTTACATATTTGTTCATTTGCGTTAATCGAGCAAAAAAAAGTTTATTTTCTGAATTACTTTTTTTTCCTGTTCTTCTTATCTAAGGGTTGAAATGTATGTATATATTATGGGTAAAAAAAAAAAGTAAGAGAGAAGATACTTAGTGTGTGATATGATCATTTTGTTTTCTGTTTTTTTTTTCTTGTTGTGACATTTGTTTTAAAGAAAAAAAAAATGTTAGTTGGATGACGAGAGAAAGAAAGAGATTTTGAATAAATGAAAAAAAAAAACTCAAACCTAATACGAATATACTTTTTGTAATAAAAAAAAAAAAAAAAAAAGAAAAAAACTACATAACAAACGAATGATAAGATTTAAAATTGAAACTATTCGATGAAAACGACAAATGTTTGCATTTTATTTTTAGAACAAAGAAAAAAGAGAAAAAATTACAATCTACTTTTATTGACATGAGAACAAAAAAAAATGAAATATGTTTACTTTGTTGTAACAAAAAAAAACAAACCATCAAAAATTTAACAGTATTGATTGTTGAAGTTGATTCTAGGAAAAAGAAAAACGAGAAATTACAATTTGTCTACTACTTTTCTATTGCAAAAAATCTTACAAATAAGTGCAAAGAAAACAAACTTCTACTTTTGATGCTTCGAAAATAATAATGATAATAAAAAAGAGATTCTCATAGTTATGATTGCTTCTATTACGTTTACTATATATCATTCACTATCTATAGTATTAGATGAAAATGAAAAATGTTTAGCAAATGATAAAGTACTCAGTTCTTGACAAATAGAGAAATGTTAATCAAGATCTGTCAATCTTATAGTAGAAACATAAATATTATTCCATTTGATATATTCTATCAAACGTAATAGAAAACGAGTATGATTATTTCTTTCGAATGGATTGTCTTTATCAATATTTATTTATTGATAAAATATCAATATATTTTTCAGTCATCTGTTAGCATTTTTGACATGTGAATATATTTTTTTTGTGGATACAAAGAAAAAGAATAAATATTTTGAAATTTAGGAAAATTATTATTAAAAGAATAATTTTTTACTTTAAAGAGATATAATTCATCTTCCCATCACCTTCATATTTCAAAATGCATCTCCTACTTAATAAGATTTATCTGAGCTGAATAGTTATTATGAGAAAATTTTTTCTCGTATAACTTTCCATTCAAAACATTGAACTAGATCGAAGTTCAAACTTATTCATAGCCAATTGATGAGTCCGAGGAGCATTTTTTTAAGTCGTATTATTATTAAAAAGCTATAGAACTTGGATTCGATCAGTAGTTTAGTAGACTTAAGAGTTACAATAAGTCTAGAAATATTGATCACTACAACACTTCATCTTTCTTTTCTAAACATCTAAATCATAAAAAAAAAAAAAATCATACAAAAATTTAGTCTCAATTAGAGCTTGAAAACAAAACAAAACTGGTAAATAACTGTTGACATTGAAACCCAATGACAAAAAACAAACAAATGACATACATATATAGTATACTTAATAACATAGCCTCTATTTCGTTCTGTGAGTACAGTTAACTCTCGGGTACATAATATAATTGCTATAAATAAACTTAAGGAAGACTAATGAACGACAAGCACAAAAACTTAAGTATAAAGAAGTTTCATTTCCTAAAATTTAGACATGCACCAAAAAAAATGAAGTTAAAAAGGCGTAGGTGTAAATAAGAATAAAGATAAAACTAGCACTCTTACACTCGCCTACATTCATTTGTCTCTTCGATAGGCGTCATATTTACTTTCATTATTTGGTGTACTAAATATTCGCGTACTCTTCGTTTCGGTGTCTATTCCAGTATAGTTTATCTACATTAAACTAATTGAATATTTCGCAAAAATGATTAAAATTNCAAATCGTAGCTTTCTAACAAAACATCCCCTGAAAAAGGTCTCAAAATGCAGAAAAACTGCTTGAAGAAAGCAAATTGACTAGATATGTCTCAGATGATAAAAAAACAAAGTGAATATACCTGTTCACTTTTTGAAGTACACATAACACTCGGATTTAAATCCGATGTTTTCGCATTTATTATGGTATCGAACTAATATTTTGGGTACATTCATGTGACAATAACTAGTACTTCATCGGTTGACATGCACTAGAATTATAATTGACAAATCTTCTTTTCTTTCGGGAAAACATATTCAGCAAAAAAATGTACTCCAAAAGTTTTTTATCATTTGGCTATTTCAGAAGTTACTACTGTTTTTCTTTATTCTGACGTTAAAGGTAATTCCATATGTCGACATTATTATCATGAAAATTTCTTAACACATAATCAAGAGATTAGTTATTAGTACGTCTTAAGGGAGTGAACCCATATATTAGCATTAGCTCGACTACATTAAATACTGAAGTTCTAAAACTTCCAGATAAAAAATAAACATTTGTATTTCAACAAATATTCTTAATGAGACAATAATATCTCAGTTATTTTAAAAGAATTTCTAATAAAATTTGGACTAGAAATTGAGATAATATTGGACTTTCGAATGACAACATGATTGAGATAAGATAGTCACACAAGAGAAAGATAATGTTTGAATCATCAATTCAGTGCATGTGAGCTGGTGGCGGTCGAATTAGTAAGATCAGAGTTTATCGTCTCATGCATTCACTTATATTATCAGTTCAATATATCATAAAGAATCGTTGCATATCATGAACGGTAACAATTTTTCTACCAACGAACGATCATATTTTTGATGATGATTATTTTCATAAAACACATATTCAAATTTACTTAATAAATCATGGTACTAGTGTCAAAACACTCGAAAACATCAAGTATCACTCAGTTAGAAATAGCAGATGTTTTTGAGTATGTTGTCCTTAGCATCATGATTGATTAAGTAAATCTGAATATTTCTTTTAAGAAAATGATCAATGCAACGAGCTCAACAGACAAAAAGAACCTTCTAAGAGCTTTATTTTTTTTTTAAGTTGACTACCCACGGATATATTCATCAAAAAATACGCTTCTCAAACATTTTGTATAGAATGCATCTCAAATGTCTCGCACTAGATGTTTGTTTTTAGTCGTATGTTTAAACTACACAACATTAATTTAATTCGCCTATACGTCTATATAGTCAAGGTCAAGTACTATATGTACACACACTTGCTTAATACGATAAAGTCTTAAATATGAAATACAATAAAAAATGTTAAAAAAAAAAAAATTTCACTGCTAAGAAAAAAGCAAAGACAAAATGATATTATTAATACAAAGAACTTTGTTGAAAAAGATGATCTATTTAGAATTGAGAAATTCAAGCGAGTGTGAAGCATGTCAAATGATAGACAGTAAACCTTATTTTGATAAGACATTGAAGGAATTAGAATCAATTTATTGATAGATGACTATACACCAAAAGCATGATCAGATCTTGATCATTGTGATCTTTGTCATCAATTGAATTGTTTGTAAAAAGAAAATTTCTTATTTACCATTTTGTAGAGCTTTTTACAAGCTGAAAGCTCATATATTTAACATTTTTGATAGGAAAAAAATCGTCGATGATCTACTATAATTTTTCACTAATAGTGAATCTATCATAGAAGGTGTAAATAGACATCAAACTTTCTCAGAAACTACTCGCGATATAGTACTACAAAATATATTATGTAAATTTTGTAATGTACGTATGTCTGAAAGGAAAACATACATCGCGCTGCCATATTCTCTTAATTCTGCATCAGTAATCTAATCTGATAGGATCCTTCATAACTATAATATCATTTTGTTCTTTTTGTTTTCTTTGCATTGAAGTTTATTTATGCTTTTTTTTATGACATTATCGTATTAAAATTTAAATACATGACTCAAAACAGGAAAAACAAAGTCATGCAAAATTTTTAAGATGCATTGTATATCCTAAAGAAAAATCTTTTATTTTAAATACCTTTTTTAAATTATTTTCAAATGTATGCCAATGTGATTCAATAACTTCAAAACTCATATAATATAAAAGATTTTGTACAAAATGAAGCATTTTATGTCTTAAATAAGCAGCACCATTTGGTTTTGTAACAAAATGTTTTCTATCACGTGCACGTCGTCGTCGTCTTCGACCACCATTTTTATGTGCACGCCATACATTACATAATAAACGTTCAATATATTTAATATAAAATAAAAATCTAAATAACATTTGATATCTTGTTAAACAATTTCTATTAATAACTAATGATATTGGCCATTTAACATCATAATCAAGTGAAAATGATTCTAAACCAGTTAATTTTATTTCCATTGTTTCATTTATATTTGTTGATGATTCAATATTAAGTACACGTTCAAGCATTGATATTAAATCATAATGAAACATTTTTGTTCTTACATCATCTTTATATTGATCATCAGATGTTATAGCTAATGATACATCAAGTAATGATTGAATTTTATTTTCATCTATATCACGTGCACGTTTTGTTAATTCATCTTCAGCTGAATCCATAAATTGTACAATATAATCACCTTTATCAATTAAAAAATAATGTTTTAATGTTTGAAAACGTTCAATTAAATGATATTTATTTAATATTAAATCTAATAATATTTGACTTGAATATTTATAAGCTTCTTCAATTGTTTCATCAAGATCTTTTTCACGTATAGTATATTCTAATTTTTTATGATTATTCATTAATAATTGTTTATCAATACGTAATATTGATGTTGACATATCAATATTTATATCATCATTATAATCAAATGCACTTTCACGTATTGCATTTAAATATTTACCAGTATTTAATATCATATCAGATGATGATTGAAATAATATTGGTGTATTATTACGTTGTAATAAATAACGACGTGACCAAAATTTATCATTAAATTCTTGTTCAAGACTACTTTCATGATGTATAATATCTTTATTTTCTTGTACCATAAATTCACCATAAGGATCATCAATTATACCATTATGTATCCATGTTTCAAGCATAGTTAAATAAGGTTTATAGGCAGATTTTGCAAGAAAAAAACAAATACCATAAGCTTGTTTATGACCGGATAATTTAAGAGTTTGTTCATGAAGTAGGTCGAGTACAGCACGACCTGTTGTATTGCCCTAAGAAAAAGATTAAAAAGAAAATTCTTCTTTCTATTTTATCAGTTAAATAATAGTAATTTACAAGAAAAATACATTTGAAGTTCCTATCATGTTCATGAATAATATAATGACTACTTAGAGTCAATTTTTTGACGGCTTAACAAGAATCCAAGACTTTGTCTGTAACAGATGAAATTAGAGAATAATAAAATTCTTTCACCAGCTAACCTGATGACGTCTAACATATGCCAAAAGAAATGCTGATTATGAGCATATATTATTTGACAGTTTATGAAACAAGAACAAGAACACGAATATATTTTTTCTTCTTGTTTTAAAATTTCCTGAAGATATGTGAAGTAGTATCAATATCTGCGTCTGAAAAAAAATCACATTCAATCAGTTTTTTCAATATGTCATCAATATAATAACATATTCTTGGAAAAACTTTAATTAAATATTGCAATAGTGCTTGAACTTCTCGATTATCTAATCAAAGTGTATTTTGATTTATCTTTATTCGCCAAAAGAAAAAATCACTCGAATAAAGTAAAGATAGATTTCCATGATGTGATTTTTCTATTGACTGATCAATTTAATTTTGTTAATCTTATATCATCACTTGAGAAATAACTTTTTTTTTCCAGAACTGATTATAAATTCTGATGATGTATGAAATTCTCAATCACCTCTTATACTTATATGTTCTCTTGTATTTAGTTACTCGAAGAAAACACCAGTAAAAAACACGAACAAAATTTTTAGCTATTTCTTCAGATATAACAAAGTGTTTGAGAAATTCATCTGAAAAGTTTACATCGTAAACACTCGAACAGTTCAAATAATTTGTATATTTTATTTCATATAATTTGATTTACAAAAAAATATTATTGTCGAAAAACTTCTAAAAAAAAATACTACAGAAATTTTATTTTCAAATTAATTTATTTTCATTATTGATTTTTACTTTGAATTCAATCAAATTTTTAAATAACTTTTCATTTTACTCTTAGATTCTTATTCATTTACTATTATACTGATTTCGTGAAAACATTGAAAAGCATCTATCTTACAATCTGATGTTTGTATGGCAAAGTCCATTTTTTATTTTTTCTTTCAAAATGACAAGCGATTCCAATTTGTCCATTAATGAAACAATTTCTATTTTTATGTCTACAGAAACAGAACTTTGTCTGAAACTATACAGAACAATATTTTCAAAGAATATATAAATCACTTGAATAGTTTATGAACTATGTATGCAATTCTTTCGGACATCCTGTATATCAAACATTGCCTTTTTTTTTTTTTATAACGTTCTCATTTTATACCTTATTTAATGTTCTAACAATATTCGCTATGATTTCCATCATTTCCATAACAGGCTCTGTATGAAACCATAATGTTTGTAATGTTAATTGACCTTGCTGTTGTTGTGTTTCAAGTTGACTAACAAAAACATAATATCTCTAAATTTAAATGTATAGTAAAAAACAAAACTCTTCATTCAAATAAAAGAAGAAAAATCTTCTTTATAAATTCTTACTTGAACAACTTCTCTCAATGCTCCAGCAAGAGCATGATTAATTAAACCATATTTATATTGTGAACGATCTAAATGAAAAAAAAAAAAAGAAATAATATTTCATTAAATTCTATTCGAAATTTTAATGTTTTATCTATACCTTCAATAAATCGTACAATTAATGAATGATTAGAACATAATGGTACCATTCGTCGGGCTAAATCTCTTAAAGTTTGATCTAATTAAATAAAAATAAAAACAATAAATAAATCTACGATTTCATAATCATACCTAATGATCGATCAATATGAAATGAACGTTGAGCTTGTTTATCTGTTAATGATGGTGTTTTTATAAATTTTCCTTCAATACCCTTTTAAATAAATAAATAATTCTAAAACAAAAATAAGTACTTAAATTAATACTTACTAGCATACATAAAAGAAGATCTTCAACAATAATTGCTTCTTGTTCTATAACTGACAAACGTCCAATAGCAACATCCTTAAAAATAAAACAAAAAATTCTTTATAAAAATAAACTTTAAAACAAAAACAAAAGAATATTTTGTTTTTTACTGGTTCAAATTTTTCCGGTGTGGGATAAAAATCCCATATAAGTCGTAATCGTTCATTAAACCATGCTGGTCGTCCAAGAAATTCTGTTGATGATGATGGTGTTAATACTAAAATAAAACAAAAAATAATAGAAAACAAAAAACCAATCCAACAAACAAAATCATTGATTTACTTCGACGACGAATATCATTTTCAGACATAATTGATCCAGCTTGTGATATTGTTGCTGTTGTTGGTCGAAGTAATGTATCTTTCATCTAATTTTATATTTAAAATAAAACAAAAGAAATTATTAAATAAAAACAAATAACTAACTTCAGCAAGAACATGTGGAGAATGAACTTTACTAATTGTTGATGTTGGACTTGTTGTTGTTGTTCGTGGTTGATTATTAAGACGTTTTTGTTGAGGACTTGTCATTGTTGTTGATTTTGAACGTGAAGGTTTGAGTAAATCTTGTATCTGAAAAAAACAAAATTAAATAAAGCGAACGAAAAAAAAAAAAACAACATAAATCACAATATAATTTAAAAAATTCATATAAATATATTAAGCAAAGCAAAAGCAATAATTTGTTCACCTCAGAATTATCGACAATACTAGAAAGAATCATTACAATTGAATCCAAATCTCGAACACTAAAAAAAAAAAAAATAAGAAAAAAGAAAATATCATTTTATTTTGAAAATTATTCAATAAATAATATACTGTCGTGCTTTTAAACTATCATAAAGTTCAACAAATTCATTTGCTGATAAAGAATTTGAATATAATTTTCGTTTAGCATCAGATAATTCAGCCTTAAGAAAATATTGAATTGAAATAAAAGAAAATATTTATTTAATTAATATTACAGGTGTATAAGTATTTGCTTGTCGAGTTGTAGGTTTACTAAAATAATCAACAATATCTTCAGGTGCAAGTCGTATTCCTTTTAAATTAACACTAAAATTAGGTTTGATTTTTTTTTTTGGTTGAATTATTCAATTAAATATTAATATTACTTTAATGTTCGTACAAGTTCATTAACAAGAAAATGCAGACTATATTCATGTGAAGACATTTATACTGTTTTGTTTTTTTTATCTGAGAAAAATCAATCAATATGTATATATGAGAATATTTGTATTTGTTTTATGATTCACCTTTCAAATTCTTCATTCATTGCAAAATTTAGGAAATGTGGATAACAGATGACGCTACTATCAAATAATATCTTGCAACAATAAAGATAAGAAATAATGAATTTTTATAATTAATTGAATATTTAAAAAATAAAATTTAAATATAGATTCTCTTGAATAGAAATTAGTAAAATCATCAATAAGAAAAATCAAATAAAATAGTAGAATTCATCGTAAAACTATCTGTTTGCATAACCTTTTCAGGTAAATTAAACAATATTTCACATTCGTTCCATTCAATCAATATATAGAAAAACAAAAAAAAAAAAGCATCGTAATTATATTCATATTCATATCAAACCAAAACTTCTTTATTTTGTCTCGTTTTCTCAAATAATTTCTTCAAATTGAAATCAATAATGGCGTCATCTATCAATGAGAATAATAATACACTATTCTTTTTTACATAAACAATATTATCCAATCAATAATTTTCATTGAAATACAATTTATATTCTATTTCACTCTTCCTTGTGTCTTTTCTTCCAATATATAAAATGGATAAATTTCTTGGTTTTTATCAAATATATTCATACAAATATCATTTATCTTAGAATAAAGTTTATTTAATTATTCATACATGAATTTGCTAACAGAGAAAATTACCTTGACAATACGAGACCTTGTTCTTTTCTTTTCTTTTTTTACAATAATAAGATTATCTTTAAAATGGAATTTTCCTACAAATGATTGATCGACATTCATTATATTAGTATTAAAAATAAAAAACATCTACATTTTATTTTCATTGATATATGAAATTGAGTAATGATTATTATTAGAAAATATTCAATTGATAATTTTACAATGACCTTAAGAAAATCAAATACTTGTATTCGAATGAATTCTTATGTTTTTTATTTTTATGATTAGTTTTTCTTTTAGATCATGAAAGAGCATAATATGTGCTAAACTAAACGATTTCCGGTGATTATTTATTTTTTATTATTCAAATATCATGGCTAATTCATCAACAGGTATGTTCAAATATTATTTTGCTAAATGAATATTAAACTTGAAAATCAATCTTATTCAATAGTGCTTTGTCATGTAAATTAATAAAAGAAATTTATATGTTTAATAATAAATCTACTGTTGATTTATTTGAATTTGATAGTGTTAATTGAGTTCTATAGAAGCAGATGGTTTTGTGTTCTTTGTCGAGTATATTTTCTATTATTATGCAGTATTTCATTATTAACTATGTCTGACAGATGATTAACGAGATATGTCTCAGCTTCATAAATTACATTGGTATATATATATATTTATATTAAGTTACCTGTCGTAAAATATTTTTTTGTTCTAAACATGTGATATTTATTGATGTAATAAGAAAAAAAAAACTACGACGAAATTTTTTGCTTTATTAAAATGGGTGATATTAACCTTTTGACTGCGTATTTAATTTTTCTAATACAATTTTAGGAAAATATTTCAAATAATGAAACAGATATTTATCTTTTCAAAAGTTTTGTAGCATATGGAAATCTTTGAAACAATCACATAGAAGATGATAACAACAATAGACAGAGTAAAAGAGACAATAGAGAAGCTAGTTGCACAGACATCAACTGTTAACAATCAAGTATCATATATGATACTAACTATTGCCAAAGGGTTAAATGAAAATAAGGGCAGAATTATTATGTGAATAAAAATGTTAAAATTTGAAAATTTTTTTTAATTTTTTTGAAAATTAGTTCGAAATATGTATTTTCTTATTTTTGAAATGCGAAAACAAATAAAATATTGTTTGAGAAGAAAGATACAATTAATTCTAGGCTCTTTTCGACATTGCTTTTTAAATCTTTAGATTTATTTCATCGTTAAATAAAACTAATGAGAATCAGGAATTATTTTTTGTAGACTGTAAATTTCTTGGAGCTTAAAAAAACATGTTCTACGAACATTTGAATACATCTCGATAGTTCTTGAAAAGCTTTCAATAGTCACTTTTTTTTATACAAAACATATCAGATAGTTCATTCAAAATGTTCTTTATAGTATTTCTGAAATAGTTTAATTATCTTTCTCATTTATTTAAACAATTTCTTAAAAAGATTCATTGTTCATTCTATAAACTTGAATATTTAAAATATATTCTAAATAAAAGCAAACAATTAGTTCTCATTGCCACATAATTGTTGGTTGTTTTAACTTCATTCAAATTCATAAAATGAAAAAGTAAATCATCTTATTATAATGAGTTGCAGGAAATTCAAATATTAATTATCGGAAAGTCAATGATCTTTAGCGATAATCGCTGTGAATTAACATTTACGGAGTCAAAGTTTTTAGTTCCGTTCACTGCAACCAGGATTGAGACTAAACATGATCTCGTATATCTCTAGTAGTGACAGTCTTTTCATTACTTTGATGTTTATTTCTTAAATCTATAAAGACTATCGGTTACTTAATAATCCTGGTTTAAATTCACTAGATTAATATATATATATATGACATTAGCTCGGACTTGTGATAAACTGATAAAAAGAAAAGAAATTTAAGAATTAAAACTTGCAGTAAAGTAGATTATAGATGAAACGTTTTATCTGTTTGTGTAAATCGTGACAATAAGCCTGATCGATTGTTTTTATTTTAAAAATTGTGATCTGTTTCGTTTGCCAAACTTTTGACTAGAGTCCTCGTGCAGGAGACCAGTTTCCGAAAAAAAAAATTATATTTCGAAATTTCGACTTGAAACTTTATATACATGAAGGCGTCTATTAGTCTATTTCATCGATTTTGTATATTGTAATGCTAAGATATAGATTTCTTAATATACCTACGCTTCTCTTTAAGTTCTCTGTAAGATACGGAAATATTGAGAAATCTATATCCTGACAATACGATATCCAAAATGGATGAAACTTTATACATAAAATAGTCTAATTCTCTATCCGAAAAAATTGATATATGGATATTTCCACCGTATGTCGCCAGCCCATCCGGCGACCTCGTTCAAATCTAATGAAGCTTTCAGAGTTTGTAGAGCTTTCTGCGCTGATCATTTTGGAAACAAAATTTTTAGAGTTAGACCTCATTTTTGCAAAGATACAGGGCAAATACTATTAGCACTTTTTTTTCATTTTTGTAAATATCAATGCAGCATTTGATAGAAAAATCGATGAAATTCCACTTTTTTTCGGTCAAATTTTGAAATCAATGACATATTCAGATTCCTCGTGAGAAGCCGCACTAGAATTCATAGGAATCGAAAAAGTTTTCACGGACTTTTGTGCGGTCCTGTTAACTTTGTGAGGAACATTGTTGAAAAAAATCAATCAGAAAGTTGAAATGAACGAGAAAGTTGGCATAGACAGTTCGATAGAGCGAAACTTGCTCTACAACGTGGACTATTTACTTTTCTCCACACATTCGATTTGGAAAGCAGCGGTGGTCAAGGATATTTTATATCACAATTTTTCAGAAATTTTTTACATTTTGACCATTAAAAGTCAATTCTAGTGCAAAATAAACATGATATTCAGGATCAGCATAAAAAACTGCATCGAATACCTTATATTTTAGCGAAATATTTTTTCCACCAAAATTTCGTCTGTAGGGGAGTACAGGACAAAATTCAGAAATATATGGCTGAGGGGAAGTACAGACAAAATTTTGGTGGAAAAAATATTTCGCTAAAATATAAGGTATTCGATGCAGTTTTTTATGCTGATTCTGAATATCATGTTTATTTTGCACTGAAATTGACTTTTAATGGTCAAAATGTAAAAAAATTCTGAAAAATTGTGATATAAAGTATCCTTGACGACCGTTGNGCTGCTTTCCAAATCGAATGTGTGGAGAAAAGTAAATAGTCTACGTTGTAGAGCAAGTTTCACTCTATCGAACTGCTAATACCACTATTCTGGTTTATTCCAACTTTCTGATCGATTTTTTCAAACAGTGTGTTTCTCTAGTACATTACTTAGGGACCTAGTGGACTGTATAAAATTCGTCAAATCTTTTTAATTCCTATGGATTCTGATGCAGTTTTGCACGAGAAATTCGAAAATGTGATTACTTTTAAAATCTGAGTAAAAAAAGTGGAACTATCATCGCTATTTCGATAAAATTACAAGTTTCATTTTTTGTTGTTGAAAAAAGTGCATTTTTCGTATTTGACCCATATCTTCGCAAAAACAGAGTTCATTATCAAAATGATCAGCGAAAAATTCTCTACAAACTCTGAAAGTTTCAATGAATTTGGGCGTGGTCGCCGGATAGACCTGGCGACATCCGGTGGAATGACCTATATCACAATAAATGTTGTATTTAAGGAAATCAAGTACATTTATGCCAATTTTGTTGTGATGAATTTCCTGATCGTGCTACATTAAATGTTCATATTAAACAATGTCAAATAAAAAAGTCCAGTAAAATATTTAATAATAAAATTCTTTCATCATCACAACTCAATCAAACTCAACTTGATATTCTCGACAGTTCGTTTTATTTATTTATTTTTTTTATTCTTATAAAAATAAATATTATCTTTCTAGTGGTTAAACTACAACCATCAAATAAAAAATTGACTTCAAATAATTTTTATCATTCTATACAAACAAATGATATTAATCTTCAAATTCCTTTGTCTAATTTATATTCTCATGGTTATGTTTCATCATCAAAACAGTTAACATTTGATGATACATATTGTAATTCTGACAATTTCGATACATTTAAATCAACAATAAATGATAATGATGAATCTATAAATTCAAATATATTAAATAATAAATTAATATCTTATCATATTTATAAATATTCACGTCATGAACGTGATCTATATTATAATCGTATTAAACGTACATTATTAAGAAAAAATTCTCTCACAGCAACAACAACAACCACAACAACAAATAAATATCGTTCAAAAGATATTTTATCATATATATTTAATCAAACAAATTTTCTTATAAATATTCCAACAAAAATCTATTCACGTCAACGTATTAATTCAAATACGAATAATATTTATCCACTTTTATTTTCACCTAATTTTAATACATTAGTTAAATTATCAATAAATCCATTATTAAAAAGTTATTTATATAATATAAGAATTTATTTTCATTTAATTAATTCAATAGCAAGTCAAGAATTTCAATTAATTGTACATAATTATGATAATCAACATCAATTTTCATTTACATCATTATCATTTATAAATATTTTAAGACAAACAATGTATGATTATACAATGAATTTACAAAAAACATATAAACGTAATTATTTTCAATCATTTCATTCAGAACCAACTGATGATGATGATACTGCAGATAATGATAATGATGATAATGATAATGAACATGAATCAACAATAAATCATGATAATGAATTATCAATACCACCATTAAAAATTCGTCGTTATGATGATTCATCGTATGAAATTGAAAAACGTTCTATATCATCAACAACATCATCATCATCAGGAATGTCTATTACACAAATAAATAATGGACAACAACAATATGATGATCGTCGTCGGTTAGATACACGATTTAAAAAATTTCCTATGAAATTTAGTGATAATCAAATAAATAGTAATTTTAATGATAGTGAAAAAAAAGATATTTCGGATTTAACAGTCGGATCTCCATTACAATGTGATTTATCTTTTACTGATCATCAACAGTCACAAGAGTAAGTCAAAAAAATTATACTAACAACTTTTCGTCGTAGAACATAAGAGAAGCTCATTCTAGAAACAAACAAACAAACAGTAGACTTCAAGACTGAAGTCTGTGTTGTTTCATCTTCGAGTTCATTGCTCTTTGCTGTTTTGTTGTAACTTTTTTTCATGTATCTAATTTCATTTTTTTCTACATGTTTTCTATGAACGAACAAATGAGTTTATTTTGCTAGTTGAAAAAATATGTACGTACAAATATAAATCAGAGATAGATATTCGGAAACTGACAAATAAGAAATAGTTGAAGACACACCCTGTATTTGTACTGAAAGATACTAGAAAATCTGATATGGACTATATATATGGGAGTGACCAGTCAGTATGGTACCCCATTTTGATGCACACCTATTGTAAGGATAAAACATACTATTGTTCGGGTCATATAAGAGAGGATCCTAGATAACCCTGAATTGGCCCGAACGACATCATGTTTTATCCGTACAATAGTTGAGAACAGCTACTAGCTTATCGTGTGAGTTGGCAGATTTTCTCTACTATTGTACGGATAAAACATGATGTCGTTCGGGCCAATTCAGGGTTATCTAGGATCCTCTCTTATATGGCCCGAACAATAGTATGTTTTATCCTTACAATAGGAGTGCATCAAAATGGGGTACCATACTGACTGGTCACTCCCATATATATTGAAAGCTTTATTTTGTGGAATGTTTGAACTCAAAATTTGGAAGTAATTTGACAAAGANCTCTTCAAGGATCAAGAGATATGAGCCTGGAAATTTCCAACTGAAAAATTTCCCGTCGTTATCAATATCCTAATTCTTAATATTAAGCTAACACTTTCTTATGATACAATGAGATTGTCAAAAATCTTAAACTAGGATGTCTATATATAAAAACTATACTATCTTTCTATAGGCGAAAAATATTCTTTTACGAATTGAAAAATCTTGCAGCTATATCAAATAAGAATAGATAATCAAACTTATTAGTTGTAAAGGAATAATATTATTAGAAAAGGTCAGACTAAACAATATATTTATGAAAGAAATAATCTTCGTTCGTTCTTAAGGCCCCCCCCCCCCCCCCCCCCCCACCACCAATTAAAAACCACGATTTTCGACAAAAAATTCAATTTGGGGATTTTAGTGTACTTCGATAACCCTCAGTGCCTACTTTCGAAAACACTGTGATGTATCGAATTTCTGTTGCTTTTTCATGGTTTTCCAGAGGCTTTACTGAAGATATGCAAGAGACTTGTGTTTCAATGCTAAAGAACGAGAACGCATAAGAACAAGAGTCGGTCCATGAACAGATTTTTATAAGAAGTAGATTTGTCGATGCAGAATTTTACGGCGAGCCTTCTGATGTCAAATTCAAAACATTTTCCAAACTATTTCGAGCCTTCCGACCCATGCCTATGATACCGTATTTTCACTCAGTGTACAGCGATTATGTTTATAAAAACAAAAAGTTCACTAACTTCAAATAGACTCATTTGAACGAGCAAACAATTCTGCACAAAACCCACCATGAACCAACTAGAAATAATAACCAAGAATATGAATTTTCCAATAACATACAATATTTTCATCAACATTGTTGGTATGTCATGGATCTTCATGAAATGCAATCACTTACAAAAATGGCTCTACAATGGACTTTCATCTTCAGGGTTCGATGCAGTTTTTCACGAGCTACATGCTGATACAATTTTTTGATTAATGGTTCAAATTCAGAAGTGACAAGGCTTCTCAATCGAATTAGATCGATTTTGAAAAATCATATAATCGTCTTCAGCTTTGATAATACAAAAATAGAATCTCCTTCTAAAATTGCAGCACATATGTCGGAATTTTCAGCAATATTTACTCTCGAAAAAGTTTGCCCAAAACAATATTCAAAGAAAAATTATATCTGCGTGTAGCCCCTGAAGAACTGCATCGTACAGTTAACGTGAAACTCTACCATAAAAGAGTTTCAGAAGCGCCTTGTAAGTGATAAAGATATCTGAAGGCTGAATAAATACTATTTTTAATAGTATTTGCTTTAGAAAAATCTTGGTCAGTAAAATTTCGACAGGAAAACCATATCAGCGTGTAGCACATGAAAAATTACACCGAATCCTTAAGACGAAAGTTCATCATAACATCTTTCATCAAGCACTTTTGGAGTCGAAAGAAAGCTTGGAGTTGAAATAATCACTTATTTAGGCAGTATTTACTTTGCAAAAATTTTTGACCAATAAAATATCGAAAGAAAAAGTATACCGGCATATAACCCGTGAAAAACTGCATCGAATCCTGAAGATGAAAGTCCATTGTAGAGCCATTTTCTAAGTGGTTGCATTGCATGAAGATCCATGACATACCAACAATGTTGATGAAAACATTGTATGTTCTTGGAAAATTCTTATTCTTTGTTATTATTTCTAGTTGATTCGTATAAGATTTTGTGCAGAATTGTTTACTCTTTCAAATGAGCCTATTTGAAGCTAGTGGACGTTTTGTTTTGATAAACATAATCGCTGTACACTGAGTGAAAATACGGTATCATAGGCATGGGTCGGAAGGCTTGAAATAGTTTGGAAAATGTTTTGAATTTGGTATCGGAAGAGTTGCCGTAAAATTCTACATCGAAAAATCTACTTCTTATAAAAATCTGTTCATGGGCCGATTGTTGTTCTTGTGCGCCCTCGCCCATACTTAAAAATAAATATCATTTTAAAAAGAATATACTTTTTGGTGTCTGTTTTTTACTCATATAGTTATTGTTAGAAACATTAGTGTGTACAATAAATGAAAATAACTTGAGAAAATTTTTTCATTGTACATGAAATATAAAAAATAAGTATCATCAACAACTAGCAATGTCAACCAATCCAAAACTTTAGCTCTTTTATGCCACTATGATCAAGCAGAACTTAATATCAATACAAGTTGAATGATCTCAAGGAAAAATTTGCAAAAGAACTTTTACTGTTAGCGTCTGCTTGCAGTAATATATTTTCAAAAGGCATTTAATCAATAGTATTCTTGAAGCATCAAAGAACAACATTGTTTGAAGATTCAAAAAATCCTTCGATTTAAATCATGATCAAAATTATCATCTAACATTATTATCAAACAACGTTTCATATAAACTCAATGCTTGTTAACTTTTTACCAACAATCACATACCTTGTCAAAGTTCAACAATAGAAACCATTAATTTTCCAATTTACAAACTATTGCTAACAGCGTCTATTTCATGTTTTCCTATGTTTAGAAAATATGGAAATCTTTCAGTTTGTTTCAAAATTCTATTTACGATTTTGCTACTTACTTGTATCACTAAAAAGTCACATGCACAATATTTCTACTAAATGCACTTAAAGTTAGAATCATTAAACTAACGTTAGAGAAGTAACTTATAATGATAGGTTCTTCATTTATTGAAAGCTTGAAGTGGAACATTTTGTTTTTTCTTATAATTGGAGTCAGACAACATAAAATTTTCTCGTGTCTTTTTTCATCCTGTCAACTAACTATAATTATTTAGTAGTCATATTTCTAATATTCAACTAAAACTTTTTATCTCTTGCTAATGATGTCTTTGACCGATTTTGAGCTCGATTAAATGAAAATCCACTACAAACATGCTATATTTTGCCCTTAAAGTGTAAATATTCAAGTTAAAACATCGCACACGATACTAATTGTTAGAATATTGATTTCTATATACAAGAGAGTATGTAATCTAATCAAATGGTGTCAATAACGTATTCAGAATGTAAGTTTTCGATGGGTCTGATCTAAATGAACAATCGTTCAAAAATATGTTTTTCATATTTCAACTTACTATTTTTTGACAACCTAAAATTTCAATCACATATTGAATTCAATCTAACTGATGTATATGTCACAGGAAAAATTCTTTTTTTTTTGATTAGATACAAAACTGCGAAATAATTTTCGTTTGCATTAAGAAAACACAGCACGTACTTGTTTTTCTTACTAGACAGAGTTTTCATTATCACTTTTTCATAATGTAATGTATGTATTAATGATTTCTTTACGTCAACATCCAAAAATAATTTTCAAAAATATTTTTACGAACAAACGAAATAACATTTCGAATTTTTGAAGTATTAAATTTCAAGAGAAGGCAGTTACTATTCTACTACAGAAAATACAGAAGCTAAAAACATTCTTCATTTTCTTGGGTTCCACAAAACTTAATAGCATCATATAGAAACCGTGTAAAATTTGAAGACAAATAAACATTGATAAAAATATACTTCTCAAAAAGCATAAGCTTCAAGATTCTTTCATCTTTTTGTTTGTGGTCGAAGTTTGCTAAGACAAATTAGATTTGAACTTAAGTTAAACATAACATTCATATATGTATATATATATAATCACTTCTGTATTCTCATCTTTTTTCCGATTTTTTAAAAGGCCTGATTAATTTTGCCTAAATCCAAACTTTCTACCTTGAATAAATAGCGTTTTTTAGATAATAAGAATTACTAATGAATTATAGCTATGAATAAAACGATATTAAAGAATTTTAGTTAGGTACTTCAAACGATTATTAAAGGTAAAACTTTCGATACTTATTCGATTCTACTTGAATGACATAAAGTAAAATGTAAATATCAAATCAAATTAATTAAAATTGATTTAATGAATCAAAAATATATTCCTAATAGAAATACAAAACATTTATTTTACATCATTTCAACCCTAAATCAATATTCGAAGAATATTAAAGCCCTAGACACATTAGAAGACTCCAAGTCTTCTTTTCTGTTGTATCGTTCATAAGCTACAAAAGGAGACAGAGATGTCTCATATTAAGTCCTTTAAAAAAAGTCTTCTTTTTTGATAGTCTCGCCATCTATTCTTAGTTTTTTGTCCACTACATCATTAATAAACGAGTTTATTTCACTTATCCTACATACGTAGAATAAGAAAGAAGCAGATAATATTTTGTGACAAAAGAGAGACAATCGT